GAAGGAAGGAAGGAAGGAAGGAAGGAAGGAAGGAAGGAAGGAAGGAAGGAAAAAAGCTCATTCAACCACTCACCTGCTATGACCTCCATGACGTTCAAAGATCCTAATACTCTTATCGAAGCTTCCAGATACAAACTCCTGTCCAGTAGGAGCATAATCCACATCAAGTACTGCCGATACATGGTCCATATGAACATTAACAGCCTGGTCCAGTCGGCGCATATCATAGGTATATAGATTAGAATCCTCATTAGCTGCTGTAAAGATGTAGGCCTCAATGGGGTTCCAGGCTACAGTGTTTGAGCGCATTGCCATAACGAGTTTACGTAGAGGTGAGGAGCCTCTGGTGTCATACAGGACAACACTTCTATCTGATGCTGTACTGGCTAGGATATTTGTCTAAAAATTCAAGAGAAGTTATGGGGACAAGTTTAAATGAAAAACAGTTTCAAGCATGTGCTGGCTATGTGCGTAAGCAATTTGTCGTTCTATGTGTTTGTCCTCTCATTGGCAATCCTAGTTGTTAGCCAATCAAATTGAGAGATTATGCTCTGTTAATGTAAAAAGCTTTTTATGATTTCCAAATGAGAGGGCAAGACTCACCTCAATAGGGTTGTATTTCACACTATGAACGGTATCAACACCCCATGTGAATGTACGAATGGGATCTGCTCTACTTTCATCCCATATATCCAGTTGTTGTCCACATGTAGCGAATGTGTCGTTCTTCCAGTTGTGGTCAATACCAGTGTACATTGTCTGAATGAAATATAACATGAAATAGGGCTTGATATCATATCCCTTTGCTGAGTTAGATAAACAGGATGCATTGTGGTCTAGGTTGGGTACAAACACCATATAAGGCATGATGGACAAAAGGTGTTTGTATCAAGGCTAGGCAAAATGCACCATGTTCACTATTTTAGAAAAGGTCCATTATCATTGAAGTGCGCAATCCACTAAATTTATGTCTTGTTCACCGACAACCATTTAGACAACAGTCAATCAAAGAACTGCAATAAAAAATATACAAAAATCTCAAGGGAGATTTTGGACTGCATTTAGGTTTTTATCCTCTAATCCTCTAGAATCTTTAATTCAGTCCAAGATCTCCATCAAAATATTGTTTCTTTTATTGCAGTTCTTTGATTGACAGTCATTGAAATGCTTGTCGGCAAACGAGACATCAAACTTTGTTGATCCCACTTCACCAATACAGGGCTTGAAATAGTGGCCTGCCAATGGCCAAATGACAGGCTAAATTTCAGGTTTGGCAGGCAAAAATAACGAACACCGCCAAATGAATAATAAAATGACATGCAAAATTTACTGAAATGACCGCTCCTTTTACCCTGCTCCTTTACTATGGCAGGTTGAAAAGAATTTCTATTTCAAGCCCTGCCAATAATGGTAGTAAATTGTCAGTCCTGTTTAAGTTTATTTGTAATAAGCTACTCATGCATTCTCTTGGGTTTAAGATTTAAAAAAAATGTGTGTATTTGTGTGTCTTCTAATGTGCAACTGATAGAAAAAGAAATCATACTCTACATCTAGGAATAACGCTTGGTTTAAATGGAAAAACACGCAGACAACTTGATTTTCACTTCTGCCAACACGGAATCATTCGTAGATAATCTTAAAATCTTAGGAATTCTGATGGTTTTTTGAGTATCAGCAATATCTTGGGTCCAATAAGTGTACCACTTAATGATACACTTACTGAACCCAAGATATTGCCATGTTTAAACACATTTTATAATCCTTGCATCAAAAGACATGCCAAGTTTATCTATGAAGTCAACGTCTTCAAGTGTCCTCTATGCAAATCATAAGCTTTTCTATAGAACCAAACAGCGTGGAAGATCTAAGACCCTTCAAGAATCAAGAGTCTACTTCATTCTAGGATAATGGAGTGTCTGGCGTTGGTAGAAAGAGAAAAGGTTTGTTCTGTTTCTGAGAGTCATTTGACTGCATCTTGGTATTGTTTTGACTGTGAGCACTTGATGTATGTCAAGAATGCGAGAAGCACCATTAATACTTCATGAAAGATTACAAGTTTGTTTGTCTGGCCAATTTGAAGAAAGAAGATGCTAAAGAGAAGATACAAAAAAAAAAAAAAAAATTGGAGAAACCGCCTTGAAGCACAGGAGAGAAGCAACTCGACTCTCCTATGTCACAGAGTTTGGGAATTGAGACTTTTTCATATCGGTGAGAGGAGGGTGCCCTTGACACTATGCCACCCATTCTTCTCCCTTACTTTAAATTGAAATACAATGTGTATTTTTAGTATCTAACCAAGAGAGCATAAATAAGAGAGGGAAACTTTTCAATAATGCTCACGCCATGTAAATTACCAGTTGGGCTATTTTTAGTAACCGGATGCAGTTTAAATTTCGCCTTACCCTACTCCCTTGCGTCATCAACTTGCGTGCATGCCTTATTTCCATTTGTTTTTAGTGATCGAATTAAAGAGCGAGTGCGCAATTTGATGACGCACGGGAGTAGGGTAAGGCGAATTCAAACTGCATCTGGTTTCTAAAAATAGCCCAACCGGGAATTTACATGGCATGAACGTTATTATAAGTTCCCCTCTCTTATTTTAGCTCTCTTGATCAAACTTATTATCATAGTTTGGTATCATACAATTAGTCATGCACAATGAAGCTAGGATGGCTTTCAGTGTGAGCACTCGCCTCTCACCAATGTGACTTAGGCTTGAGTATTCCTTGGTTTGGTGTTGTATGTGAGTAGAGTTGTTTGTTGGTTCTCTCCTGTGCTTTGAGGGTTTTTCCCCGATTTCTCTGGTTTTCCTCCCTCTGCAAAAATCGGCTTCTAAATTCCATTTGGAATTCAGTGGATGAAGAGCCACTCTGTGGATATGCCACTGCTAAATCCCATTTCATTATATTTACCTTTCCTATTATTGTATTTATTGGTTCTAAGTTAGTGTTTGTAGTCTCCAGACATTTGTCCATACTCCATTGCTTCACTACCTTCTCATCTCCAACCTAGGATTATAATATATAAAAATAACAGTATTGACCAAGTATTCTGGATGTTTGAGCATCTTTCTCATTTATTTATTTGTCCGGCCAAAAAGATTTTTAAACTATCTGTCATTCTTCTTACTCCAAGGAAAGCTTAAAGTCTGTTCAAAATCATTTGTAAACATTTTGTCCTGTAATAGTAATGATAAAAGGGTAAATTTTACACCGTGAAAAGATGAAAAAACTGACGTTTTGGATGTTAGTCCTTTGTCTGAGTAAAAGAAGATTTTGTCTGTAATAGTGTCAGTAGTAAATTATGATTTTTTTGCTTTACATTTTACAATGAAGTCCCTATGTGCCATGAAGTTTGAGAAGGATAGGTGTGGATCAATTGCATAAGCTCCACTTTCCAGGCACACACATGGTCTACTCTAAACTCGTTTTCTTACCGAAAAAAACGAATCTCCTTTAGGTGCAACACAGAGTCCTCTGACAAAACCAGTGTGAGCTGTTAAAGTTTGTATGCATTCTCTCTTGGGTAGGTGCCACAACTTGATCTGAAACAGATAACAATATTACATTTATTATATATTGCAGCTTAGATAGTAAACTGGCTCTGATTGGTCGGGAACTGTGCTTTATTAGTAAAAAGAGCATGGTTGCTAATGACACCTGCGTGCAGCAAACTATGCAAAGAAGTATCCAAAGAAAATCCGACAGATTTCCCCCCTTTCTCCATTATATGACAGAACAAATATTTAGTAATAAAGCAATGAGAAAACACAAAAATCACCTGAGAAGTGTGCTTATATTTTATAACCATCACTCCCTGTTTGGGGCTCTTCCGTGAGGTTTGCTTCACCTGCACTACCACTACATTGTATATAAGAGCAGTTTTCGCAAACTCTGAAAAGCTTGCCGTGACATTGCTATTTTCTAAAATCTTAATTAGCTGATTTTTTCTTCTCCAATATGATTGGTCTTGCATTGTCATGACCTTGGCATGACCATGTCCATGCCGTGTTTAATTATTGCCGTGTTTTGGGCATTTGATTGGATATAGAGTAAATTATCTTGCAATGTGATTGGTCTAGCGTATTCCTTGTCGTGTCATGACCGTATTTGTGGTATGAGCTTTTTACAGTCATTTGAAAACTGTTCTTCTTACAACATACAACACTTAACTCACATGTTGATTTTTGATGGACGGAGGAAGACTGGAGAACCAGGAGAAAAACCCATGTGGCAAGGGAGAGAACAACACACCAAACAAACTCAAATTTTGAAAAACCAAGAAAATTGAGCGGAGTTACGAAAAGTCAAAGTACATCTACATTTATATATATTTTACCGTGTTTGCATATGATGTATAAGTTCAAAATGGTGGACGAAAGCATGTACGTAGAGGCTTATTGTTTTTTGTCGTTTTACTTTAACTGTTAGTCACTATTTTAATAAACACTCAATAGATTAGACTCACCTCTCCATCACAAGAACCCGATAATAACACAGACAGACTCCTAGGATGTCTTGCAAGACAGTTCACCCCATCAGTGTGTCCATCCAAAGCACCTACAAAAGGTTTAGCAAACACTCGCTCTAATTTGGTGGCATTTAACGCTCTCGTGTACTCTCTCGGCGCTTCAAATGGATGTAAACTAGGGTCAAGGTTCCTATGTAGCTTGTGGATGTCGGATTTTCTCTCTCGAATGTGATCTTCAGGATTTCTGGACAATATTTTTACCTTCATTTTGAGAGAATTTTCTCTTCTGCTACTTGAACAACGTGCAATGGAAATAATCCCACAGGCAACCCAAATGATTTAAATCATCTAATTAATCATATTGTATTATTTATTATTATTTTCAATACTAAGACTTGTTTCTATCAAACAATAGGACACGAAAAAATTATAGATTCTTGATTTTTTCCAAAAATCTGAATAAAAAATAGATTTCATACTTTTAAGCAAAAAAACAAACTTGGGCTCCCTGTGGTTGAATCCTGTGGTTGAATGACTGCAAACAAAATGACGACAAAAAAGTTCATCATCCAAAAACTACCTTCAATATGTATAAAAATGTAGTGAAATGCGAAATTAAAAAAATAAACTCTTAATGATTTATAAGATATTATTATTTTGATAAATTTCAAAATGTTATGCACGGGCTTCCTGTGTCAGACTCGTTTTCGCACCGTTACTATGGTAATAACTATAGAATGCCTTCCAACATGTCGGCTTAAAGGAAAACAAGAAGAATGTGTCTAAAAAGACGTGATTTTTCCGTGATTTTGAACTCCTAATAACATAAAATATAGCATTTTAGGCAGATATTTTATTCCTCTATACAATGGTAAGAAACATTTCGAAATCGTCTAATTTTTAAGTTAATGTTTTGAGGTTTAAGTGAAGAGATATATACCTTGTACTTTAGTTGATCTACAAATGCAGTGGTTTTCCAGCCTGTACTGTATTTTTATTGCTTTTGTTATGTTATTTTAAAGGAGTCTGGTTCAAAGGTAAAGCTTCCAAACATAAGAGAAGCTGAAGGAGGAGGAAGAGGAGACGGCCGAGAAAAGTTCCAGGCCAAAAACTGGAAAAATTTCAGTAAAAAAGAGCTGCAAAAGCTCTCACAACTAGAAAGGAGCAAGTACTTAGCTGTAAGTGATACCGCAGTCGTTTAATATGAATGTTACTTTGAGCTCTTACTTGTAATTCCAACAAATCTATTATCGTTTGTTGCTTAAAAGGTTAAAGACTAAGTCAGTGATAATTATATGGTGATGATGATATTCCACTGGGGGTGATGATGGTAGTTATGATCATAATGATGGTGATGAAAATGAAGTAGTTAAATTTATTTTATGTTGTGTCGATAATGGTGGTGGTAGTTAGGATGATAGGTGCTGACTGGATGATGGAAAATATCGTATTGATGATAATGATGATGATAAAAATACCTGATGATGATAATAAACTTGATATTTTTAATATCTCTGTAGTATGAATCAGCTCCCAAAGACTGTGTTGAAGCTATGTCTGCAGCCAGGAAAAGATTAAAGGAACTAAAGAAAGAAAAGAAAATGTAAGAACAGCAATAAAACCTTGTGTAGTACTGTCAGTACTCAGTTACAGATTCAGCATGATTTCAGAGGGGGAGGGGGGGGGGTGGTGTATGTCACATAATTTTTAAAGCCAGCATATAGTTTCCTCTGATAACTCAGTGTCTAACACCTCATACAAGCCACCTCATGACTTTCGTAAGCACTTTAAGTATTTATATAAACAATATTACACATAATTATATATCTTACTATTACCATAGCAAGTACAGCAGTGGTGGCGGCTGCTGAATGGGATGAATGTTTAATAGTATGGCTTTTATAAGAGAAACAAAATGTTTGAGCTGAGTGAATTTTTTGTCCTCAGATGTGAAAATGATCTTTTCCAAGCATTTAAACCAATCAGAGCATGCAAAGTATCTAGAATATTTATTTTTAAGAAGGGTGCTAATTTATATTAATTTTCATATTAAGATGTACAAATCATACATCATCTGAATATCTATAACTTTTGGTAGAGGGATCAATATTGGCCTTTTGGGAATATAGAAAAATACAATTTTAGTTAGCATAACATAAGGGTTATTTCTTATTTGTTGTAGAGATTAGAGCAGAGTAGAACCATTCGTAATATAGGTAACACTGCTATTTTTCTAGGAGAGAACAACCCAAACCAATGGAGGAAGTCGTTGAAGAAGATAAACACACCAAACTCATTGGCCAACTTAAGTAAGTCTCTCCCTTGATTCAAGGGTTTTAGGTAGACTTATAAGAAATATGCAGGGAGTGAAAAAATAATGATCAACTAAGAAGCTATGCATTCAGAACTGAAGACATGCAAAAATCACATGGGATGAGGCTAAGGAAACACCAAAGAACGGAGTGAGGTGGAGGACGAGGATGAAGGGCCTATTGTTCCTAAGGGAATGAACAGGATTAAGCAAGAAGCT